AAAAGTCGAAAGTACATATGCGCTCCGATTATGCACGGATGTTGCATATGCTTTAAACTCCGTTCCTTTCACAAGCCTTTATCTTTACCAATTTTTCGAGTATGTAATAACGCCTTTTGCATACCTTCTTATTCTCAAGATTGCAATCTCTCGCAAACTATATCGTAGAAAAACTTATTCTTTTGTTCTATCTTGTGTTTTTAAACATTTCTTTTCATTGACTTCGTATTACTTTTCAATTCTTTATCTTATGCTTCGGTATTTTATAGAGAATCATTTTTAAATTGTACCCAAGAGTGTGACAAATTTCTTGAAAGAATCCCAAGAATATTCAAATATAAGATTTTATGCGCAAAATCGATTTAACTTGTTTTGTAGTTATCATTTAATTTTTGCAATAAAGAATAGTATTTAATTTCTCATTTTATGCAGACGTAATATCCGAGTACTAAGCTACAGATTAGTAATACGTTTCCGACCAAAATTCTTGTTTCATAAGTATACCTATATAAGTGCCCTAACGATTTTCTCCTTAAATGAGTATATACTGCAATGAAAATAGCTAGGCGGAGTTCCCCTTTGGTAGGTGGAACTCCTTTTGTCGGCGCTGAACTACCACAGCATAAACGCACCCTTCGCTTTTTGTTCGACATATCTTTTTGCGGCTGTCATAACATCCATACGTTGAAAAATTAACACATTAAAACAGTATTATCTTCTGTTAAAAAGAAGAAAAATTATATTACAATATTACAGTGGTGGACGAAAGAAAGTTTAGAGCGACACGAGAAAAAAAAGCATAATTTTACAACGCAGATTATAGTTCACTATGGCAATGAAGTTTTTCATAAATGTAAAGACGTAACTTCTCAAGCGTCTTTGGGATCCTCATCGTGTTGGATGATAAACTTTATACCATGTATCACCTTCCCCAAATGATAGTGGTCTCTTTATGAATTTTTTTACGATACAATTGTCAAATCTATTTTTATTTTTATTCTTTCATATACATATATTGTCAATATTTAAATTTCCTTTTACGTTTTCGGCCTGATATATTAATAATAATTATTATTTTTTGCTGAAATTTCATCTGCCAGATTCCATTAAATTATTGACTATATCACATATTTTATATTCGTCGTGTATTTTTTAGTTCCTATCATTGGAATTTCATATTTGTCTCCGTTTTCCTTAAATATTAATTTGTTTCTTTTATCTTTGATCATCAACCACTTAATTGTAAACTGCAAATACAGTCAGAATATCGGTTATAAAATTATTAATACATTATATAATTGCAAAGGTATTGGTGTTCGCTGTATACGAGGAAAATAGTTTATTTATATAGTAAGAAGAACAGATAAGTGTTACCAGCGTAATAAAGAATGTTTAATATAGGATTCATTGACTCTTGCACGCAGAAATAATAATTTCGATCTTCCTTGCTATGAAACAGTGAAAAATTTTCTCGTAGACTTTTATTTTTTATGATACAATTTATAGTATCGCGTGTAAGTTTAACTTGATTATGCTGAAAGCTAATCCTACCCACCGTTCACAGTCGTACAATCGCAAAAAATCCGAGTGGACATACTTTTGTTTACATTTACATCTATAATGCAATTTCATTTAATTGGAAATTATCCAAGGGATATACTCGAATAACTGTTAACGCGAATCGTATGTTAATCCGGACGTATCGTAATTTTATTCGGCGATATTTACATAGACACAAAATATACGATACCATGTATAACTATATAATGACCATCTAACACACTGTTGTGAAACGATTCCTTCTTTAACGAGTACTATCTATCCCAACAGCTTTAAATCTTTTCCTTAACGAGCCACCGTTGCCTTGCGTTCTGTAATTTTTACAAGGTCCGTGTACATCAGTGTCTTTAAATGCTTGAAAAAACGCGTAATTAAACAACTAGTGGCAGGCACTCGCTGTAAAGCTTAGACAGACGGTAGTTATGTGCTTGATAATTAACGTAACGGACGGGGTGGCTACGGTGGGGGAATTGTATATGATTGAAAAGCGTTAACGAAGTTGCATTTCGTCGGTATCTGGGCTTTATCATCGTTCCGTCGATCATCGGTGTGTACGCCTCGCGATGTATGGTAATGACCGTGAGCTCATTACCCGAAGAACGAGCACCGCCATATCTGGATTCCACTTGCTGGTAAATGTTACCCTTTTTACAGCTGCTGCTCTCGGTCGCTCGCCCGTTCAGAAAATTTTACGCATAACTTACTGTTGCAAACCTATAATTACGATGGACTATAAAACGTGACTGGGACGTTATGGCAAAAACGAACGGGAAGAAC